ATCCTTTAGAACGTTGGACACCAAAAAGGCGTCTTATTCAGATGAGGAATAAAAAAGTGAAGTTTTTTCCTATGTATTTTTGTATTGCCTAAATTCGAGATGGCGCCACATCATGATTTTTCGCGCCCATATGAATTACATGGGAAAATGTCACTTTTTTATTCCTCATCTGAATAAGACGCCTTTTTGGTGCCCAACGTTCTAAAGGATTGTGATCTCGAAAAACATTAAGTTGAGCCCTGAAAATCTCCGTATAAAAACTCGATTTTGCAGTAATGCAGGTATTATAAAAATAGTTTTCAGAATCCTGTTGTTTATATTGATTGTAATGATCAAAACTAAATGCTAATGTGTATTAACTTGTAGACTCTTTCCCCAAACATATTATTATAAACTTTCAAAATATGGTCTTCATACTAGAAAACGAGTAAAAAGCTAAAACGTTTATATGACCACCTACATTATGGAGGAAAAATACCCTACTGAGGATGTTTGTCCATGCCTCAGGGCGGTAGCCAGAAATTTGGTAAAGGATGGGCAGCTACAAAAAAGTTCCATCTTTACTAGTCTGAATTTCCATGTTAAAGCTAAGTCGAACACTAATTTTTACTTGCGTTTTATCTCCACACTACATTGAAATCTGAAGGGGTTGGCACGTGCCCTATTTGCCTACCCCCTGGCTACGGCCCTGTCGTGCCTGTCTGTGAATTTTTTCGCTGTCCGTGCTCGTCCGTGAATTTTTTCTTTGTACCAATTTGTAGCTCAAAAAATTTAAAATATTTTCTTTTTGAGAAGCCCGTGTCCGTCAAAGGGAAGCAGTTGCCAGTCCATGCCCGTCCGTGTCTTTTTCGAGCCTGCACGTCCATGTCCGGCAGTACGGGCACGCTCACGGCCACGGGAATTTCCGTACCCGTGCAGATCTCTAATTCTAATGTCGAAAAACATTAAGTCGAGCCTTGAAAACCTCCGTATAAAGAGTCGATTTTGCGGTAATGAAACGACTTACAAAGCACAATCAGATAATATACTTTTTATATGGATACATTTTAACTAAAATATATGACTGAACGTTTTTTTCCTTCTGCCGGCGACGCGAATATTGAATGGGAGGATAGTATAAATGAATATCCAGATAGTCTGTTATTGTTGATGGACTGATAGTTTTACCTGTTAAAAGCGGAATATTTAACCTACAAAATATTCACTTCACTAGGTGAGTAGAAGGTGATAAAATCAACAAGAGTTCAAGTCAAACACGCTTTTTTCTAACGCATTCTAGATCACTATACAGAAATACAAAATCACAATGGCCAATTCGTCTGATAACCATTCAAGTTCAATGGTAGAACTAAATTCAAAATTTAGAACTTTCGACATGTATGATAATCCAGATGAAGTGAAAGTTTTTCAATGTGAGCAGTCCGATGAAACATCGTCAATAAATTCAGAATTGAATGCAGTGACCATGAGATCGTTCCAGTATGGGAATCAGGACCAAAATGTTGGTCTAAATATTAAACAACATTTAAACAAACTTCATCAATTAGCCGAAGATAGAAACTTACAAAACTCAAATTTATCGGAGAAAAAAGTTGTAAAATCTCAAAATGAAGAATTGGATCCTAAAGGATTTGGATTAGGACATCATAGTCGATTACAAAGTGTGGATAATCATGACGAAGAAGAATATGATGAAGCCAAAGGAGAAGAGTTATTACAGGAAATTTTAGACTCAGTATTAAAACCAAAAAGTAAACAAAAAGTACAATTTATGGAACATATGAAATATAAACCAGGAATGAGCAAAAATTTTGATAATAATTTTATTCATAATCTTACTTAGCCTAAACTTAGAACTTGGGAACTTAGCCTTTTGCGTTGGCAACAACAGCAAGTAAAAAAAGCTGAGAAGAAAAAGTAATGTTTCTTTCTGAGTGTGCATCGTTAATATTTTGAATTAAATGTTTTTTTTTTGCAGAATTTAACAAATCGTTCAGATACATTTTTTTCCGTTGTTGTGTAATGCAAAACAATATATTTGTATAGAGTGGTGTGGGGCGAATCAAGAACAATTCACGATCACGCCAGTATTTATTGAATACCTTTTTTAATCTTAAAATAATATTCTTGATTCATCCCACGCCAAGTGGGGCTTTTCAAGAACCACATAGACAGGCAGAGAGTGAATCAAGCATTCTGGTATAAACGAACGCAAAAAACCGCTACATCTAGAAAACCAGTTTTCAACCCAATTCTCATTTTTATGAGTTAGGCTTTTCTCTTCACTTTCGTATAAAAAAGGAAACAAGTTCTGTCTCGTTCTTGTTTTCTAACATTCAAAAAGCTTCTTTTCTTTTTTTGTTACAATAGGCATGTAAAGAAACAGTGTCTCTCTTATAAAAAAGGAGAAAAAGAACGGAAATGGAAAATAATATATGCTGTGGGCAAAATCGGACTTACCACTTGGCGGCGATGTAGGTCATCGGTAGCCTACATGACTCTTCAAAAGTATCCTCCTCTGTAACTCAAGAGTCATAGCTAAGGACTTCTAATTTTGTGTAGATATAGCAGCTACTGAATGCTGATCACCCTGCAAGTTTAAGCCTCTTTTACTGGATGATTCATGATCTATAAGCGTTTCACTTTCCTTCGTAAAATGCTATTAACTCTTGATTTAAGAAAGATGAAAACTTTTTCTTTTCACTAAAATGTAGGTCTGACTCTCCGCTATGTATACTATGAATTTTCTTTGCTTGCTCCTAATGGTTATTGAAATACAGGTCTTTCACAATCGAGGATCGCTTTTCAAAAATGTTGTTCTTTCTGGAAAAATTCATAACTCACGAGGGAACCGATTTAACTGTAAAATCGTTTTTTCAGCGAGACCTAGTGGATTATAGGTTATCGACTATGCTGATTCTGAATATGACCATCTCCAGAGACTGGCTTTTTGAAAAACCACTTTTTTCAGGACCTCTAAAAAGAACCAAACCCTTTCTTAATAAGGTATGATTATAGCCCGCACATTTCCGATTAAAATGAGACATCTCCCTGCTGTACACGACCATTCTTTGCAAAGTTATGAAATTTACAAGAGCCCTAAATTTATTTCATATTATTTCTGCAACTGAGCTGATAATCAACACTTAGGGCTTTTCTTGTAAACTCCATAACTTTGCAAAGAAAGGTCGTGTACAGCAGGGAAATGTCTCATTTTAATAAGAAATGTGCGGGCTATAATTATATCTCAATAAGAAAGACGTTGGTTCATTTTTAGAGTTACTGAAAAAAGTGGTTTTCCAGAAAACCAGCCTCTGGAGACCTACAGGCAACTGCCATGGTCATATTCGGAATCAGTATAGTCGATAACCTATAATCGACTAGGTCTCACTGAAAAAACGATTTTACGGTTAAATTGGTTCCCTCATCAGCCTAGGAACATCATTTTGAAACATATGTGGGAACACGAACCTGAGTAACTAACGATCGACGCATATATTAGGAATATTACACGGTACTCTAGAACATTGAATTCCGAGCCGAAAAACTAACGAAATCTCTCATCAACTATTCTCCTCAAAAGGGACAAAGATAAATGTATGTACGTGGCGATTATCAGTAAAAATTCTAGAAAGTCTTGGCTGCCGTATAGTGAAAATCGGTAGTCCCTATCCCTCCGTTCCATTCTTGAGTTATTCAAAAAACGACAGTTTGCCACATTTCATGTTTCAAAGCTTGAGAAGCACTTCCTTGTAGTGAAAAATTGAAAATTAGCTAAAAAATGTGTTTTTTTCGGTTTTTCACTATGAAGTTGTTTTTCAAAATTGAGCCTAGGAGATGAAATGTAATAAATTGATTTTTCTCTGCTAAACTCAGCGTTCTATAATAATCAGGTATACCGTGACCCACCGGTGGGTTAAATTGCTGTCAATGAGTTAAAGCTTAGCGGACTGTCACTGGTAGTGTTTAGCTCATAGCGGACTGGGACTGAAACATTTTAGATGCATTAGTAGACTGGGACTGAAAGAATACCCAACTTGCTCATCTCTGCTAACTGTATAATCAAAAAACAAATATATATTAGGCTAACTGCCCACATGAGACTGATGTATGTGTTGTTTATTGTACTCAGATAAAAACAAAAAACAGCACGAAATAGTTCTTATAAGCAAAGCCAGTAGTTTTATTAATATTGAATAAGATTAAATATTAAATCATTCTCATCTCTCTTGATTGAAATATATGCAATAAAAATGTCAAGAATGGCACATCGTATATAAATGATGGATGAAGGCGTACGTCTATAAAGATGATTCTATAGTAAATAGAGATAGAGAATAGAATATGAAATCGAAGCACTGTTGACAATCGTATTAATACCATACACTAATTACTGTACAATTATTTAAATATTAGAATAGAATAAGACATCAAAGAAAATAGATATACATGTACACGTTGTCATTTGGAGTTGCGTAGAAAGCATAAACATGTTTACACAATTTTTTTAAAAAAGAATGTATAGATATATTTAAAATTCCCATAGTGTTGCTTGATTCACCGTTGAACATGTTGTAATTGCACCATTTTGTTCACCTTTTAAATACTGTCCATTTGGTGCTTTAATAATTATTCGATTTTGTCGACAAAGTTCAATAGAAAATTTTGATGGTTCTCGTCCGCTAACACTTATACTCAAATCATTTGACAATTCCCAATAGAGTCCATGTGAACCTAGAATACATAAATCTCTCTTTTTCTAATTACATTATTGTAAAATAGAATTATTAACCTTTTAAATGATAGCTGCCATCATGAGCATCTTCCATTGAAAACACATGAAACGTTGATTTATTACATTCTAACTTATAACATGTTTTATTACGGTATCCTACTAAACCATAATCACATTTCAAAACGATTATGGGACGATTAATAAATTTTAATAAAAATGTTTCAGTTGTTGATGGAGTATCGCTAACAGCACGCATATGTCCAGTGGCATGTGGTAGAATATATTTTCCATTTGGTGCTTGAAATGCAATACGACCATCATTTAGAGATTGAATTTGAAATGACGTTTCACTCATCCTAAAAATAGAAAGAAAAAAGAATATGAAATCTAATTTTAATGGAGATAAATACATACTGTTTTTCACCCGTGGCTTGTATTCCATTTCCCTCAAGTTTCCAATATTTATTATTACATGCTCGAATATGATAGGCAGCAGTTTCATCATCATATTCAAGTTGAAATATTCCACTATCACCTGCTTCTGTTTGATTTGCTGATACATCAACACCTAATATTTAATCAAATAAAAATACATTCTTATCATCAAAAGTAAGAGTATGAACAACGATTAGAATACTTTGTTTTATTGAAACTAATTTTCCATTATGTGCTGTAAAACAGACTTGTAATTTACTTTCTTCTAATAGAAATAACTCATCTTTTCCACCCACTTTATTTCTCGTTGTCATTATACCTTGTGGACCAACAGCTGTTAAATACCGCTGTTCGCTATCCTTAAAGAAAAAAACAACAATCGTCAAGTCGATTACAATGCACTACGTACTCTGATGTCAGAGGTGGAATATTTAAGAGAGATTCTCAGCCGCCTCAGTGAACAAAATCTTGAAAAAACTTCTACTTTTCCACGGTAAAAATTGTTTTCATTTCAAACGAAGGCAGTATCAAAAAGTGCTCTATTTTACTAACATTTTGAAAATACATTCTTCTGAAGTCTCTTTATCAGCTAAAGGATACCAAAATGTAGTAGAAGCAAAAATTGTGCAAGAATAATTAACTTGTTCATAGCAAAAGCTATTACTAGAAACGTTTCATTATTTTACTAATAACATCATCAGGAGTGAAATGTCTTTAACAAGAGTTTTCGCTATGAGAAAGATAATTATTATTCCACAATTCTTGTTAAAACTTTTCACTTTCTCAATGAAGTAGATACTTTAAAACAGACTTAGTTAGTCACTGCTGATCAGTCGATCGACTTTTAGTCCTGCTTCTATGGTCTCTGAAAGAAATATTAACGTACTTTAAATCCCAAATATCCTTTGTTAAGTTCAATAGTGAATAATGATTCATCTGTACATTGTTGCATTAATTTTCCATCTTTATGAAAATAAAGTCCATCACATGTTCGAATAGCATATCTACCATCACAATATTCAACTGTTATTAATGCATTCGATCCCCAAGGAACAATTTCATCAATATGAATTTCATTTTCATCTAATCGTGCATATTTCTTTCGTAAAATGTGTTTTAGATTAATCTGTACGTTTGAAAAAGAAATAACAATGTTACATTTAAGATTTTCAAAAAAAATCGTTCAACTTACATGTGGATGTAAGGCAAGATGTGGACACCACCATTCTGGTGTTTTACTAAAACAATGCAGATGATCATCATCACCACCCAGAAACATTCCGTAGACAACACTTTTAAATGCCCAACGGCCATTTGTTAATGGATGATTCGAAAATTCTAATTGATACTGACAATCGACATCAGGTGTTGATTTATCACACGTTAAACGACCATATTTATCCGTTGATAAATAATAATTTAATGGACTCATTAAATAGACAGAATCATCTTGAATATTATAGTGTATTGTCCATTTTTGTTTTTTACGCAAACTATTTCCAGTAGCATTAATTTTACAACCAAAATTTTCAGATGTCAAATATTTTCCTTTCGAATTAATTAAACCTAATGACCATTGAAATATTGTTTGTAATGGTGAAGTAGATGATCCATTTTGAGCCCGTTCTAATGTTGACGAGTTGGATGAAAGAGATTGTTGAGTAGACTGATGATGATATCCGTTACCATTTGTATGCGATTGTTTTGAAGAATGTCCATTTTGATAAGTTTTTTGGCTAGGCAATGTTGATGGTATAATGGATGAATGTGTCTGTTTTAATTGTGGTTTGGGTCTGAATAGAATAATAAAAATGTACATTGTCAAAAACAGCGAAGACATTTTCAAGGTTCATAACAGATATTAGTTACAAATTCTACAAAATTTTTCAACAGTTTCTAATTTTACTCATTTATTTCTCTTACCGTAATGCTGAATGCATTTTTACTGTCTGTCAATATGAATATCTAACTTGTGTCATACAATGTGCTAAACTTTGATAGATGTGAATATAAAAAGACTTCATGTATACACAATGCCACAATACATCTACATCCTTCTTTTTCATTTCTTTTTATTCACATCATTTAGAGCGAAACATACATATATTCACATTCTCTCTCTCTGTTTTCTTCAAGAAAAAAAAATCCTCTCACACAATCCGTATATACACAGAAGTTCATTATCATATTTCAAAACTGTTACATTCATATTGAGATGCATAAAATTTGATGGTTATATCACATTATAGGAACATATTCTTAGAATATTTTGATGATCAATTTTCAATACTCACGATATTTTAGAATGTTCAATTGAATTGATCATCATGTTGTCTTCTGATAGAGAGAAACAGAAATGATGGTTTACTTTCATATGCATATGCTCGTCTCACACATATACAACAATTGTTTTTTTCAGTTTGTACAGTATTGATGAGAGACGAAAGAAAAAGAAAGAGAAGTTATAGATGGACGATAATCATCGAGGCCTTGAAAATGAAGAACAAATGTTCATTTTTTTTCTGATTATTTGAACGATTGATTGACGGACGTGAATGAATGAACAATAGGAGATCAAGGCAAAATTTAATACATATGAGAGAAACAAAAATACTAGTGGGACGAAAGTCTTCTTTACATCGGGAGAAGAACAAGAAGGACAAATAGTATTTTTCGTTCTGCTAAAATTTTTTTGCTATAAATGAGTATCACACATGTACACGTTGCTCTCTGGCAGGCTTAAAGGCGATATAACTAAACTTTCTAATAAAAGAGAATAAATCCGAAGTGATTGGGGACATCTAGTAGTTGTAGTTTTTGTCAAATATCTGTTTTTTTTCTATGTTCTGTACGCTATTGGTTTTACTTTATTATTAACTCTTAATAATCTATCATAACTCTCTAATGAATATGTATCAGATTTTAAAGAAAAATAGATCATTCTCTTGACATCTGTTGCATTTCAAAAGATATTGAACTTCTATAGATTGTCTCATCGTTCTCTGAAACTGATAAGATACAAAAAAGACTAAAAAAAAAACTAAAATTCTCTTCTATACATATGGTACTTCAATTAGATATTTAAGCTACAGCTGTTTCTCTTCTGCACATCTAAATTATATCACTTTACGGAGAAAAAGAAGTACAAAACTCATGAAGTTTAAGATATCTAAAAGATATTACACGTACTCACATACAGAATATATCTTACAAAAATCTTTTTACTATCAAATATGACTGTAAGACAGAAGTATCCTTGAAATTTAAAAAGCCTAGTGCAGTCATTTTTATAAAAATTTTGACGATGAAGGTGCGCTCAATACAAAATTACAGCAAATTTTTATTTTTGAACTAATTATATATCATTGGATAGAGCATGTCGCGCTGATTAAGAAATTATATGTTTTAATTTTTAAAAAAATTTTTGAGGATGAAAAATTGAAAATAGTTGAAGAACCTAAAAAAAGTCGAAAAATCCTTCAGAACTCAGATATTGAACACCATCGATTGAACACGTTGCTATTATTTCGTCGTTTGAACACCGTCTCAAACGAAAAAAATCTAATAGTGCTTCGGATCTCAAACCTATCAATCTGTCATTACGAAGTTATATGGACAATCCATGAAGCAACATCGTTGTTCTCCACATATCTAAATATTAGTATGTATGGATAATTAAAATGAAGCGGAACATAATACAATCGTGTTTGAAAATATTTTGTTTCTGCCTATGACGTCGCGTAATTATTTTTTGTGTTAAAAAGTAAATATAACATACGGTATATAGGTCTATAAGATATAACTGAGCAAAGAAATGATCTATCAATTTTTTAATTATTTTATGTGAGAAACGTTTTATGACGCTTATTGGAAACGTTTTTTTCCAAAGACCATTTAAATGTAGGTTTTCTAAAACTGTCTTATTCTACGATACTTTCTTGGGATGCTCTACTTTTAATGATGTCTCTTATCGTAATCTAACATATCGTAAATCGTGATATTTCCTTCATGAGAAATATACTACTTTTAAACTAAAATTAATGCCTGTTTTTAAAGTTTTTGGTAAAATTTAACCATTAATTTCTTTGCAATGTATCCTGATTGTTCAAGAGAGAACATGGAACAAACTATACTTTGAAGTTTTATTTCTATTTCTGTATCTTGACGAAGGCTTGAATGTACGAAGCTGAAGAAAAAATCTACTGTACTTACTCAAAAAACGAAAAAATGTTGTACGATCACATATACAGTGGCGGCAAAAATTTTCCGTCCATTTCAATTTTCTTTTTCTTTTGGTCATAACTCTGTAACAAAAAAAGCTTTTGACAAGCGGTTTGCACCAACATCTCGTCCGCTCTCTCTAGTATATTTATAGATAAAAAAGTTTTTGTTGTTGTTCTTTGTAGGCCCATTAGACTGAAAAGTGAACCTTTTCAGGTCGATGAAAATTTTCCGTACAGTTGATAAATTTTTTTACGTTGTATAAGTACGGATTAAATATGAAAACTACATCAGTCGATAGTGCAGAGCGCGAGCTACATTTCGGTAAAAAAATGATTTTGAAAAGCTTTTTCCTTAGGGTGACTTTAAGCCAAAACTGCCATACTTCTCACGTGGGAACCGCTCCAGGTGCCCAACTCCGATTTCCTTCATTCATACCTCGTTTTATAGAGCAAATCGAGCTGGTAAAAAGCCTAAAAGGATTTTTGCCCATGGCTCTTGAAGTCTCGGTTTCCTGCAAACCCAGTTTTTGAGAAATTCTAAAATATAATCAAAACCTTTCATACTGAGGCATAATTATAGCCCGCACATTTCTGATTAAAATGAGACGTCTCCCAGCTCTACATGATCTTTCTTTACAAAGTTACAGAATTTACAAGAAAAGTCCTAAATTAATTTCTTCTTATTTCTACAGCTTTGAGCTGACAATGAACATTTAGGACTTTTCTTGTAAATTCTGTAACTTTGTTTTAAAGAAAGGTCGTGTAGAGCTGGGAGACGTCTCATTTTAATCAGAAATGTGCGGGCTATAATTATGCCTCATTATGAAAGGTTTTGATTATATTTTAGAATTTCTCAAAAACTGGGTTTGCAGGAAACCGAGACTTCAAGAGCCATGGGCAAAAATCCTTTTAGGCTTTTTACCAGCTCGATTTGCTCTATAAAACAAGCTATGGATGAAGAAAATCGAAGTTGGGCACCTGGGGCGTTCCCTCGTCAGTGTGGCTGTTGAATCTCAGGAATGAGTATTTGAAAAAAAAAGTCTGATTAAGCCATTCGAAAGAGCGTCCAAAACTGAGTAAGATAAATATAGTGTGGAAGTTAACCCTTAAGAGCCGAATGTCCCTTCTAAGGGACATTTGAATAAATGCAGTACAAGTCGTAAGAAGACTTTTGAAACAGAAGTGGATATTTTTCTGGGCTGAGATGATCTTGGTGGTCATACTGACATCAAAATAAAACCTTCAAGTGGTTGCCAGACGAATCAGTTGATTTTTTACAGCTGATAATGATTTTGAAGTAATTTTTCTTTTTTAGATTTTCATTTATTCAGAAATGGAACGTATAGTCTCGTTCTTTCTCTGCAGCATCCTTAGACATAGCATCAAGCTATCTGATGGATGTATTTCATTATTTTTTTAACCGATCTAGTGACAGATTACGCCAATGTAAAGGAAATGTTTCATGGATGGGATCTTCAGGCTTATAGAAAAACAAAAACTAGAAATTTCAATCTGAAAGTTCGCTCAAACATAGCTTTACTCATATCTAGAGCTTCCTGGAAATTTCAGCAACAACGGTTGTTTCCTCTCGATCTCGATAAAAAAACATCTGCTTTAAGTGAAAATTTGACGACGTGTGAAGCATTATGAAATCTATCTAAGGGCAGATTCTCAAACCAAAATTCTTATCTTTCGGATTTTTATGAGGGCGCCGATTTCTACAAAAGGACATGGGTAGTCCTGGAACACAGTGGGCATCAGAGATGGGCGATGGACGAGGATTCTTCGCGAGGCCCCGCGATTCTTCGCGGGGCGATCCTCGCGGGGAAGAAGTTTTGAAAGCTTGACGAGGCACGGGGCGATGACGAGGCAATAACTGCACGAGGCGAACCCCGCGGGGGACATTTTTTGCTTGTTAGCGAAAGACGAAATAGAGACGCT